GGGGAGGGGGACGAGGGAGGGGGGAGGACTAGGAGGACAAATGGATGAGAAAGGGATGCAGTGTGGCATCAACTCACTTGCGAAGGTTTTCACTATTTTGTACGGAGCGCCTCCATCCCTCGGAAAGCGCCGTAACATCAAGGTCAAAGTCGTCAAAGACCTCGGGAAGGCTCTCCTTCTCCTGCGGGTCCACAAATACTTCTGCCTGTAGGGGCAGCAAAGGAGAATGGAGGGTAGAAAGCAAGCAGGATCCTTCCATGAATACCACAGGAAGAGGCAACGGCGACGGATCTAATCACAAGCATACGGGCTCCCCTGTGGGAACTTTGAATGCGTCGCATCCTATGCCTACATCTCTCTCCCTCTCTTGACACATCATGGGGAGGTTTTAAACTCGTCGTCGCAATCAATCGCCGCCCTTCAGCCGCCCTAGGCCTCGCCTTTGCACTACATGCATCAGACTGGGCTTCTTCGTCCCGAACAGCGTATTTCATGCTGGTCCGCCGTCGTCTCCTACCTCAGGAGTGCCGATGAGCATGAACCTCACAGGGCCCCGCTTATCCTTCACCACCAGCTGGTCCAGCGTGTGCTCGTTCTTGGCCACTTTACCGCCTTGGATAGTGAGGCCGATGATTTTCTGTTTTTCGGGCAGGACCCGAGTTTTGGCTTCAAGGATAATCTTCAAGTTGGCAATGGTACAGCTGATAGGGGGGAAAAGGGGCGGAGGAGCCAAGAATGAGGATATAAAGGCATGGAAGCATCCAGCAATGTACACAAAGAGAAAAAAAATGTTCATGTTGCCCGTTTTTGTGCATGATCACGTCTCGCGAGAGAATAAGCCGGATCTATCCCTGCAGTCTGAGGGGCTTCGAGAACCACAATTGACAGCTCCTTTCCTTCCCCTTACCCGTCAGGGATTGACCCCAAATTGATCTCCTTCCCCCGCCACTTGGCCACCAACTCCAGCGATCTTTGAGACTGGACTTGTGCTTCGGGCACGCGAGCTTCTTCAAGGAGCAGATTGTCGTCCATCTCTGATTGCCCAAAGGAAAAAGGATGAGGATTCATGAGCCTGGTAAGTGGTGCACTCTATTGCTTTAGGCTATGCAACACTGGTACCCTCAGCTAATGCTACCAGGATGAGGGTAGAGTGATTCCATGATCTCCTTAATACCGATCAATTACTTACCGAAGGCCACAGCAGAATTTTGTGAGAAGGAGGAAGTTGAGGACAAAGAGGAAACTGGGCCGTCCGCAGTTGCAATTCCATCCATGGTCGCCACATGTCTTTCGTCGGCAGGCACTTCCCCTTCTTCCATAAGGCGTCTGCGCCGGAGAAAAAGAAGGTGCGCGGGTGAGGGACATGGAAATTCAAGCCTTGCAAGGGGATCGCCTAGTCGCTGAGCAATATTCAAGTGTTGACGTCTTTGCCTTTAAGCTCTCGGTCCACACGGCATGAGCCTCCCGACTGGGGTGACCCGCCCGCGGTGACGGCGCACTTTCGCGACATGTCCTGCGACGAAGGCGGGGACGACGACGGCTTTCGTGGGCGTGCTTTGGAACGTGTAGGAAAGAGGCGGTGACTTGGTAATGCTAATTATGTGCACGCGGGGGACCGGTCAGGGAAAGATCCCGGGATCAGGAGGGAGGCTCGTTTCCCCGCCACACGACTTGCCGGTCAAAACCCTGCTTGCTGGTGGAATTTTGAAGCGAAGATGGAAAATACCTCACAATACGCCCTACATATCCTTATTCACAGAGGCAATCGTTGTTTGGGATTTTTTGGTGGCTATTCATTGAGAGGTCATGCCTCCGCCGTCGCCTCGAGATCTTCGTCCTCGATCAGACAGTCACGACACGCAGGACACAGGGGATGCCGAGCTGGGAGAGATTAATATTCCCGACTCGACGGACGCCAGCGTTCCCCGTAGTTTTATTCGGAAAAAAGACAAATTAAGTACGAGTAACACGAGCATATCTTCCAGTAATTCTACTCGACGATGTAATTCAGAATGGCACTCCGCTGTATCCAGCCACGACGGGGAGGACCTGAAGCCACCGGGGACACCATCACAGATACATCTCATGTCCTCCATGCATTCTCAGGTGGTGAATGTTGTTCACCATGTTCAAGACTATCTCCATCACATGTAAGCAGACTGTTTGAGAGAAAGGCGGGAATTTTCGATAGATGTCTTTATCCCTCCTCACTTCCCAGAGTTACGTGCCGGCGCTTTGTTTTTGGGTTGCAATCACGTGTTTCTTGGGATAGTAGTTTTACCAGATGAGCGGACATCGCATTTGTTTTTTGCAGAGTGCCATGTCATGCCGCCTGTCACGCCCATCTTTTCCAGAGCTCTCACCTTTTTCCTTGTCTGTTCCTCCTTCCACAGGCCCAAGTGGCAATACCGCCTGCTTTTATGCACTGTCATCATCCTTTTTGTCTCCCTCGTCCTGGTCTTGACCGTTTCGGTGCTGTACGGCTTCAACATGGCCCTGCCACACATACGAGTGGTAAAGATGAGGGCGTTATGGGAGGGGAAAGGGAGGTATAGGGCACCAAACTTACCGCCCTGGGGCAAATGCTCATTCGCAGAGGGGACATTCCAGAAAAATAAGATGACAGACAAGCACTTCCTCTCTCTTTTTCCTATCCCCCCAGACGAACGTCCGTCTCGCCCTCCCCCCACCACACGTGGACTCTGCCGGCCACATTCCCATCGTCTCCACCATCCTCTTCTCCAATCCCAACTCCTTCTTCACCACCTCCAGCCTCTCGCCTATACGCATCTACGCCCTCCCCTCCCGCTCCCCCGAGAGCCTGCTGGCCCTCACCGCGCCTCGGACCATCCGGCTGGCCGGGCACGAGGAAGGCTATTCTTTTGACGTGAACTTCACCTTGAAGGACGTGGGGAGCATCGATGGGGGGAACGCCACGGTCGCAGCGGTTTTGGAGGTGAGTAAGGAATGTCGGAAGGGGTTAGGGCTAGAGGCAGGCTTAGGGCCGAGGCTGGAGATGCATGCGTGGGTGGGAAAGAGGGGGCGGAAAGCGTCGGATGCCTGTTCATGTGTCTTTCGCCTTTTTCTCGTCCACAGGGCCAAAATTGTCTGCTCTACACGACAAGTACTAGTAAAATCACCGTGAAGGGCTTGGGACTCATTCCTACCAGCCGGAATTTCAAGGTGGAATGCACGGTGCTAAGAAAGTGGGGCGAGAACCCCCTGACCCTCAGCGATTGCTACGGGCGCTTTTACAAGGGATAGTCCAGGTTCGAAGGGGCGAGGATATGGTCTGGATAGAGTAGTGAGGCAGTAAATTAAAGCGAGTTGGAACTTTTGAAGTGGCAACCGAGAGGGTTGTCAGGAAGGGAGGCGGAGGGCGGTCGACGACGACAAGTTTTGAGTTGTGCTCCGAGGAGGCTCTCGTGTATAGGAGGGACTTCAGCCGGGACGTGCAGGCCCGGAGGAGCCACTGAAATTTGCGAAATTAACAAATTTTTCCGATGTGTGTAGGTGAGAAAAAAAGAATAATCTTTGCGTAATTGCATGTGGTACACGGCACGTGGTATTACGTTTGATTTTACTATGCTGTATTATTCCCGCTCCTTTCTAGTCACTGTCACTTGTTACAATGTCTGCGCTAAGAAATTCATGAAAGGTATGCTATGTTCATGCATTTCCCTCAAGACGTGTGTAAATCAGCGCTCGAAGCATGTTTCTTCAGCATTGACACCGGGTCCACTTAACCTTTCCCCGGGCCTGTCGGACTTTCCCCACATCCGATAAAATAGTCACGCGCGACAAAATGCCTTACACTATGCACAAGTCGTCCGTCAAAAAGTGACAAGCGGCGAGCTGGTCTTTGCCGGTGCCTGTCCTTGTCCCTTTCCGACCTTTTTTTCCACCCCCAGGAACGTAAACGCCCGATCGCCCAGCTGGCATGATATCTCCAAGGATTAAAATCCTATCTCGCTGTCGTCGTACCGCTTTTGGGGCACAGCTGTTGTCCCGTCTCCGAGACTCAAAATCCTGATAGGCACGCGGCCTTTGTGATCTGAAGCACAATCAGCTCGCTGAAGTCATTGCCTTCGATACTTTTGGTGTCCCGGCCGACGGGCTTTATGGCAAAGTCGTCCCGCTTATTGGCCGCCGCACGGTGGAGTTCTCGGCTCTCGTGACTCGTCTCTTTCTTCTGGACATGTATCCTCCGCTCACAGGCAATTTTATGCGTTCGCGGGACAGTATTCTTCCTCCGTTATCGTCCCTCACAGATAGCGAAATCAATGCTGACATGAGTGAGAGCAAGGTTTTTGAGGGGGAGGGCGGTAGTAATGAAGGGCTTCCGGTCAATGAAGACAGTAAAAACAAAGGAGGTAGAAAAAAAACTGAGAAGAAACATAAAGATGTACAGCAGGAGGACTTGGAGAAAGGGGAGGACAGAAGAGATAGCAAAGAAGATACGAAATTGTATAATCTAACAGAGAAAGGCACTTCATGTGTCTCACCATCGACTCCAACCTGCCGTCGCTTCAGGCTGTGGGGTAGACTCAAAGCTCATTCATGGCCCGCGATGCTATCAAAGGATCAAAAGGAAAAAGCTCTGTCAGAAAATCTGTACCAAAGAAGAGGAGAGGGTGGGAGTGCAGATGTGGAGGAGAAAGAGGGGACTGAGGAACCACAGAGTGTTTCCCCTTCGATCTCCCTCCTGTCCTCTTTGCACTCAAGTGTGCGGAGCATCGTCGGACAGATTGGTAACCACTTGTATCAGGTATGGCAAGAGAAAGGCAGGTTGCACATTGAATGGAAAAGGTTGCAGAGGGGGCGTTGACCTAGTATTTTGCGAGCGTACTTGGTTTTATAATAAACCGCTACATACCCACAGATGCCTAAGTGGAAGTATCGCTTGATGGTATCTTCTATTGTAGTCCTGCTCATCTCCTTCCTGCTCCTCCTCTTCGTTTCAGTCGTCTACGGTTTCGGTATGAGCCTACCGCACATTGAGGTATTGCTGTGAGAACATGACAATCAAAATTCGTTTTTTAACCCCCTTGCTTAACATACGACGTTCCCTCTTCTCCTGATACACATACACCGGATTTGATTGACTCGTTCCCATTTGCTATCGCAGGTAGTGGCGGTAGATGTGGTCTTGCCCCTCCCTCCAGACGGCTCGCTCCCTGTCCGCTCTCTCATGCGCGTCAACAACCCCAACCGCTTTTCAATTTTGGTACGGTATTTTATGGCCACTCATCCTGTTCCTCCTAGTTCAGTAGGGGACGAAAGATTCTCTTGGATAGACTTGTCCGATAGCACTCACCAGCTCGCAACCTAGGGTCGGGGACGCTCTCTCAACTAACCCGTTTCCGCCGTATGCTCGCGCCACGTGTTCGGCTTCCTTTCCTCGTATCCGGACAGGTGCATCCCACAGACATTAGTGTTTACTCCCACCCAACCCGCTCCCCCGGGTCTTTGCTGGGCGTTTCGACCATTCCAGAGCATCTTCTGCACGCCCGCGAGGGCGCCCACACTACGGAGTCTGTCTTTGTCGTGCGCGACCTGGGCTCGATTGAGGTGTGTCAAGTCCGACCATTTTCTTTTCAAAACTTTTTGATGCGTGTGTCCTCTTTTTATTGAGTCCATTCATGCGCTTTTGTGCAAGATATGTCCTTCTTAACCGCCCTCGCTATCCGCAAGTCAATACGGGAGGGGAATCACTGCGTACGTGGAAGTCAGAGATTATAAGTATAACAAAGACATTACTGTCAAACGAGAAATCCTTCGGATTGTCCTTTCGCATCGATGGGGAAGGTCGTCGGGTTGACGTCCGCTTCTCCTATCTCTCGCATCCCTCACAGGGTGGTCCAGACCTAGCCGAAGCCGTGTTGACCGGTGGGCCTACATTTTTTTACACGAGGGCCAAGGCGGAGCTCACGGTCATGTCTTTGGGATTCATGTCCATTGGTCGCGCCTATATTTTAGAGTGCACTGTTTTGAAATATTGGGGTAAGATGACATGCTGAATGAGAGCACATGCCAGCCAAGGATTCCTCTGTGGTCGTAACACACGACTTCTAATGCCATACAGCTGGTAATTACTCATGCGTCTGTCATTTACATTCCGTCTACCTGCACAATTAGGTAAGGACATTCTTCTAAGCGACTGCTACGGCCGTTTCACACGCTAACGGCATACCTTCGCGCGATTCAACACTGCACGCCTCGACATAGACAAGCATAAGTTGACCTTTTTTTGTCTGCAGGGAAAATAATGTATCAAATCCGTCTGGTCTATTTTTCCGACTTGGACTTTCCCTTCGATTTGCAGGAAATTTCAGGGGCATGTATTTGTAACAGAAATCATATTGGGAAAGCATCAGCATTCAATGTCTCTATCAGAAATAGGTTACAAGACTCTTCAAAGTCGACTTAGAATACAACTCTTTTAAATAGGTCATTTATAGAAAGGCTTTGATTAAGCATATCTTTCTTTCTTTGATTTGAAAACGAAAATTGCGCTCAAACGTCCAGCACCCTTTTGTCAACACCGACTACTTTCCAATCCAACCTCTGGGATGCTCGACAACACTACCCTTATTCTCTCGTTGATCTTCGTGTTCGTCTTTATATTTTCTCATTATATATTCCAAGGCTTGAACACCCTGCATCGTAATCGAGCAATTTTTCCTTCTTGTAGTTACTATTATGGATTTTGCTGTAGCAGAGGTCTTTTGCAAAATGTAGCGCTCTTATTTGTAAACTCTCGCCGGATGAGGTCCCATGCACACCAAAAATCTTATAGACAGATCTTGATACTTTCGTAATGTGTCCTTACAAAACCAGCTCTTCATGTCTCTAAGTTAAAACGAAGACATGCGCGAACAACTTCGCAAAAACCTTTCGTCTTGAAGTGAAAAGGTACTTTCACTTATGCTGTCTCTTCGGAGCCCCGAAGAAGGAACATGTCCTTCCTCTGATTTTACGTCTGGTACTCAATCGACGCAGAAAACCAGCTCCCATAATTTCACTTAGTCTCCTTTTTCACATATTACGCTGCTTATGCGCGTCTTACTCCTCTTTCTATTCAAGCGTCGAACGCTCTACACTACCAGCGCCGTGGGAGCCACGGCTGGCAATAAAGGAGCCTGTCCAGAATGTTCATCGCCATTCTTCTCGACTTCTTCTACCGCATCATCAACTTTTCTTATCATGACCACAACCTGCTCCTCATCTTTGCCCTTACCGATCGCCTGGTACCCTCCCCTGTCCACGCTTTCACCCGTCCTCTCCCTCTTTAGCTCCAATCCTTGTCCGTCATGTGCTGCTGCCCGATCGTTTGACTTGGCTCTTGTCAAGTTTACGTGCGGTGCTTCCTTCGCTCCCTTCCTGCTTGCCTCCTTTGTCATGGGAGCCTCCCCAACTTTCGATTGAGCGCCTCGCCCGGGCCGATAAACACTTCCGCGTCTACGATCGTAAAGGAGAACATAAATCCACTTAGAACAATTCAAGAGAAAGCTGGTAAAGGGATGGGGGGCCGCCTTGCTGAAGCAGAAGAAGGGACAATATCATAGGCCTAAGTTTCAAAGGCAAAGTTTTGTATTGCCCAAACTTTAAACTAGTCGTTCAGCTTTTCAAGAGAGAAAACCTCCGTCTTCATTCATATAAAATGAAAAGCCTGAATTGAGCATCGCCTTTCTCGTCTCGAATATCCCGTTGCATTTCCTTATGCGACACCTACCGTGATCGAGCCCCTACGTTTGAGTGGGTGCCTCCGTTTCCGCGATGTCCCATTCCCCACCCTCTGCCTTCGCCTCTCTCTTCATATCTGCCGGTACGGTCCTGCTGTTTTGAAAACTGACTTGACCAGGGTTGATGATTTTCCCCTGTGACGATCACGTGGCGGGGAGAAAAGCCGTTTCCGTACTGGTAGCTAGGGTACTCTGTAGGAAAATATCCGTTGCCGTTGACACTTGAAGTGCCATGCGTGGGAGGTGAATGGAAAGTGGAGGCAATAGGTTGAGGTGGTATGACTTGAAAAGATTGGCCGGGAAAGGATGAATACTGCGCCTCGTGAGGAGCTGCTGCAAACGCATAGACAGGAGCGCCTGCGGGTGAAATGGTCGAAGAGTGATCCTGAAAAGAGGCGGGTAGGATGTCTTGTCCGTCGAGTATAGACGAATAGTAGGCGTGATCGTTCATAATCTGCAAAGCCTCATTGCCCTGGAGAGAAGAAAAAGCAGGAGAGGAACACACGTGACATGATTCGCAAGCGGGAGAGGCTCGTCAGCAAGTCATGAATAGCTATGCACAGAGCATGCGTGTAGCTTGTGCTGGTTTGAACTGATTTCAACAAGAATTCTTGGCGTCACCGAGCGTGCAGAGGCTTTATATTCTCTCTCTTGTATTAAATATGATGGAAACAGAACTCAAAATACCCCTCGCTTTATAACTTTACCTCATTGAATGGCACCTCTTGTGTATCACGGGAGCGGGGAAAGGGTCTATTCTGATTGTTGGCCAGGGTAATGTGCCGCAAAGCAGCATTTGGCACATCTTTCACCAAGAGCCACTGTATTGAGCGAGGACAGGCGCCAAAATGTGGCAGGAAGCAACATGTATGAGGAGGAGGAGCGAGGTAACACAAAATCACGATCTATATTGTATGAAAGCCTATGGCACAGTGCTTTCGGAAACACTACCATGATGAATGCAGGACTGAGTATGTAACTAGCCCCAAGTCCTTCTTTGAGGAGAAGGAAAAAAAATTTAAGATAGGGATACTTTACATACAATCCAGAACGCTCGGCCCTTTCACGGACCCCAGATCTCTCTATATTTTCACTCACCCTAACATTGAAGACTCCCCGCCACCGATGTGTCTGAGTCTGCATTCGAGTCAATTATGGTGTTATGGAGCTTTGAGAAGAGGATATAAAACATTTCTACCAAATCTGAACTTGCTTATTCCCTCCATATCTTTCTTTACAAAGATTCCCCTCCACCCCACCTTCATCCACGCGGGAAAGGAAGTGTTAAAGTCCACGGGCGAAGACATGAGGGCTACCCCACAGAATCGCTGTTAGAATTGGAAGGAAATGATTGATGAGCCAGCCGCCGTAAAGTGACGAGTATAAGTGATTTGTGTTTAGAAACAAATTGCTATGTAAAAGTTAGTATTGAGATGACAGCTGTGCTATCTTCTACCATAATTATGCTTTTTCAAATACTCCGCTCAATTCTACACTCCTACTTCCCAACACTCACCCGCGATTCATTGACTGAAAAGAAGAGGTAGACAGGGATACCCTGCACGGCAGCCTCGCGGTAGGCGCTATTTAAAACGGAAAAAGGAGACGGGTTACAATGTTGGGAATCTCCAATAAAAGTTGAGGTTTTGCTGTCTGAAGAGATCGACCGGGCCTGAAGAAAATCGCAAAAAAGGAGCACACACAAGGGTGTTGGAAAGAGTTTTGGGTTCATTACCGGTCTAGGCGAGCATTTCCGGGTTCCGTGGAGGCCCACAGGGAATGGTGTACGGACTGGACCACATCGGTTGGGGAGAAGGACTTGATGACGAAAAATCGAGCCTGAGGGGGGAGAGACAGATGGGGACGGAGTTGCAGGGGAAGGCATGCAACGCGTGAGTACACGTGATCCGAGGATGATTGACTTTCCCTGACTTCACCCCCGGCCCCAGACCGTCTCGTCTCCTCCCACCCTATTCCCCTCTCCATCTCCTGAATCGACCCCCACCTTTCTTCCCTTCCCCGTCCTCATTCCTCTACCTGCACCGGATCCCCCGTTGGCAACACCTGCGGCGGCGTTTTCCAGGCCTCCTCCTCCTTCTCGGGCTCCTCGTCCTGCGGCCCCTCTTGCTCCTGCTCCCGGTTCTCCTCTTTCTCTTCGTCTTCCTCCCCATCCTTCCCCTCGAAGCCTACTCCCCCTTGCGGCTCTTCCTCCTTTGAATCATTTTGGCTGATCTGAACGACGCCTGTTTCAATCCTCGCCTCCATCACCTCCTCCTCTGCCTCCTTGCCTGCCGTCGCTGGGATGGACTCTTTCCCCATCGCAGCTGCGCCTACTCAGACAATTAATGCGGGGGGAACACAAAGAAAGGTCGAATAATTGCACCGACTTGTTCCATCACATCGGATTGCCACGTGACTAGTGGCCTTTCGCTACTTCCCCCCTCCCCTCCCTCCGCCCTCCTGTACCTTCGGAGTGCACGTCCTGTGCCTCTCCTTTGTCCCTCCCAACCTCCTCCATTCCTCTTTCTCCTTCCTTTTCACCCCTTTCTTGGCGTGGAGCAGGCACCGAGGGGGGCATCGAGGACGAGACGGCGACATAGCCCCGCCCTGGCCCACGCCGACCTCGTCCCCGCCCTCCGCGCCGTCCTCCGCCTTCCCTCTCTCTCCCCTCTGCTCGTCGACTTGGGTAGGGTCCTGGAAGGATGGTGCCAGTTCGGAAAATCAACGCCACTTACAGCAACACAAAAGCCCGGAACCTGCATTCCCACCCCTTTTCTCCCAAGCTGCTCCTTTCCCCATGATAGCCATTCCTTTGGCCCCACAACCCAAAACCTTGTAATTTGCTCTCAGGCGTCCTCTCCCCACGCACCTTTATAGCCACGGTCACCGGCTGGCGAAGGAGAGGCAGGTAGCGAAGAGGCAGCGGCAGGGGTGTAGGCGGGAAAGCTGGAGGGAGGGTAGGAAGGAGAGAGCGTCGAGGGCGGGAGGGAGGGAAGGAGGGAGGGAGGGAGGTAGTAGTAGCCGTCCTGATACGGGGAGAAGGTGTCAAGACCGTACATCTGGGATAAAGTAGATAGTATAAAATTTGAGGGTAGATATGAGGTGAATAGGGCGAATCAGGAATAAATGTGTAATTCGGGGGGATAGGGTTAAGGTTATAGGTGGAAGAGCAAGGCAGATGGAACAGGGACAGGAAGGTAGTGTCGCGACGCACGTCCACCATGAATAGCAGAAAGCGCCAACAGTGGGGAGGCGAGAGTCCCAGAGACGCCAAGGGCCACATTCTGCGTCACAATGGCGCCAACGCGCCGCCCTGGCTCTTTCCTCTCTGTCTCGTTCTTACGCTCGCAACCTAGGGTCGGGGACGCTCTCTCAACTAACCCGTTTCC